CTACTTCATAGGTGTCTCCCAAATATATTTGAATTCAACATTATTAAAACATGCTATAGTTTTAAAAATGCTCTTCATGTCAATATATAAAAATTGAGTTGTAAGTTAGAAGTACATATGTAATCTCAAAACCCTCATTCCTGAAAAGGTTCATTTCATCCATAAATATTACGTTATTTAACTGTTCATTATCATTCCTTTTTCTATTTTCCTCTCCACCACGCCCTACTTCATAGGTGTCTCCCAAATATATTTGAATTTAACATTATCAAAACATGCTATAGTTTTAAAAATGCTCTTGATGTCAATATATAAAAATTGAGTAGTATGTATACAAATTTTTCTTACTAATAACAAGATAGAATCACGTAAATAAAAGAAGCTCAAAATTTAATATATGTAAACACTAAATTAGAACGGATCAAAGAAAACAATTTCTCATTGCACAATTGTAAAAAAAATTATAAATTTAATAGTTCATCCATTTATAATAAACTTAAAATAAAAAATATTGAAAATTTTGACACAAACCAAATTGAATTAAACTGAAAAGTGAAGCAAAACAAAATGAACTGATTTTAATTTCAAATTTAATTAATCAATTAAATTCGCACTACATGATTAAGAGAATTAATTATATTGAATAAATCTATATGAAATGAAGTTAACATACAATAAAATAGAAACCATTGAGATGACATTTAACTTTGCAGGGAAGAAATTTCTATAATTTTTTAATTGCGTACTGAAAATATAAACATTTTAAATTCAAGACTATCTTGTTACCATACAAAACAAAATATTTATTTTTGTCACGATTTAAAAAAAAAAGACTTTTAATCACTCAATTTCAATTGCTAAAAAATCATATAAAACACCTTAAAAGATATCTACTTGTAAAGCAACTCCTTTAATGAGCTATGTATATATAGTCTTCCCTTTCAAGAATCCTCGTATTATCAAGTATTCATAAATTTTCCTTCATGTTTCCCACTTTATATCATGACGATTACAAACTACGATTGTTTCTCTTCTTTAATTGTATTACTCACAAAAGAATTACTTTAAATAAATTTCTACGATTCCTAGCTATTGTTAGATAACACCGATGCTAACTGAAAATACATCACAATTTTTTTTGAAGCTTTGAAAGGTGGATCTTCCTTTCATAAACTAATTGAATTAAGCTCTGACGGTATATTTTAAAATATAATTAGGATACACGACTGACCCTAAAGAGGCCTAATCATGCTGTCGTTAATGAGAGCCATAGATGATACCAAAGTCGTACGTGTTAATTAGAGCAAGATATTCCAATTAGGGGTGCAACTCGAACCACCCTAGACTTAAGCTTAACTAATTTTATCGAGCTCAAGTCCAGGATCACAAGCCAGCAGCTTATTTTTTATTTTAAAAATAATAATATTATAATAAAATGACATAAAACGAACAATTAAGAGAGATAATATGAAATCACTTGATATAAAATATAAAATACTATTTTTAATATTTTAGATATACAATCATCAAATTTAATATAATACGAGCATATTTATATTAATATTTTTTTAATCGAGACAGGGCAGCTTGTTAGCACATTCAGATTAACTCATGAGCCACTTATCAAGCCGAGCTCGAGCCGGCTCACGAGTCAGCTTGACTAAATCCTAGTTTCAATTGCTTGCATTTAAGAGCTCATCCTGCCTGGAGACAACAAAGGGAAATAAGTTGAAAATTTTCACCTTACCGCTCCAGCCACATTAAAATCGAGTTGAAAATCATAAACCTGAGCCAGCAGTAAGGTTAGTTTCAGCCAAAAAAAACTAAACTTTAGAACGTTATCCTTTGCAATATCCTTTAAAAATGACTAAATTAGGGATTGGGATTGAGTGCCACCATTGCAACTTTCTGTTCATTTCCACTTCAACCCCGGAGGACCCTCGGTATGCAGAGAGTCGAAGCTTAATACAGAATCTTTACAGCGCTCCAATGTAGGAGACAAAATAGCCATTGTAAGCAAACAAGCCCATCCATAACTATTAATTCTAATAAAAGAAGGAAAACAGAGAGCCTAAAATACCAAGTCAGTAAGAATAGCAGTGTTAACTATAACTTGATAAAGAACAAAATCCAGTGTTATTTTTTATCGTGCACATGTTCTGCGGATTTTAATGCTTTAGCAAATCTAGGTTAGCAACCTACAACAACTCAGGATCCCCCATCTGCTCAAGGCTGAAATTCAACAATTGCAATTTCCTATAGCAGTCGTCATAAGCAGATACGGTAAAAATGGTAAAATGAGCAAGTAAAAATAAAACCGGATTTTGATATTTCCTAGCTGCAAAGGAAAAAGGTGTATGATTCTGAATCCTGCATGAAGCATGAAATAAACAAACCGGCCTGTAGAAGGCACCCAGAGAAGCCAACTACAAGCAAAAGCCTGAAGTTTCACTTCTAATATCAACTATAATAAAGCGCCTAACTTGCAGGTTAAATATCGCCTAGCCGATTCTCATTGTACATAATCATAAAACAATAAAGAATCATAAATAGCAATAGTAAGAGTAATTTCTACAATTATATAATAAAATAATGATGTAATCCCTTCCTTTCTAATGTTACCTTTTTGTAAACACAAATTAGCAATGCATATATGGAATTGGTATTGAAGGAATTTCAAAACCTACAAAAACAACTAAATTTGCTAAACTCTTAGAAGGCATGGTATTGGACCGTGCAAATAAGTTGATACAAACTAATAGGATTTCTTCACATGGATGGACAGATTTTGAAATTAGAGTGGAAAAAGGATAATTACCCCAATTAGAACCAGCATGACCTGGAAACAAAGACTACCGCCACATATCCACTAAAATGATGCCACCACTAAGCCACGTTACGAAGAGTCAAAGAAGTTTCCAAATAAACATGAAAAAATTGCGGATTGGATTTGAGGGCTAGCAGACTACTCAAAAACTAATACAGAAGTAGGATTCAAACAAACTGTTAAGCGGGCATACACGTATCGGATATAGGAATTAGCCGATTATGCTGTGATTTAGGGCAAGCATGCCAAAATTAGTAATATGTGCTGTACCATGGGTGAAAGTACAGACCGGAAAGACAACCAGTACCTTAAGGACTGTTTATGATTCTTTTTACTTAAAATGTATTTGCTTATTCTACTTTTCACATATTTTTTATTTTGTTTTTTAAAATAAATTGACTTAAAATACTTGAAATAATTTTCAGATATTTTGATTGTTTTAGAAATAACTACTACTGGTGCCCCTTATCACAGCCCACCGTCAACCGTCGCAAGCAATTGCTAGCTGCCACCAATCTCTTCAACGGATCGCCACCACCTGCCTTCAATAAACTAATAAACAAATATATATTTTCAGCCTACCAAAAATATTTAATTTCAAATCAAACCAGAAATAAATAAAAAAGGGCATTTACACACCACACAATTCTTATGTATTTACCTAATTAACAACAAAATTTCATATTTAAATGCATAAAACTCAAATCTTGAACATCACGTCAAAAAGACTACCATTGCTAACGTTTTTAAAAGTGAAATACGCATATGTTTATGATGCCTAAGCATCATAAATGTAAATATCAAACTTTGGGTGTTAGATATGTAAATATATCAGAGTTGCGTGGAATGTATGTAAATTTCCCAAAACAAAAAACATAAGTGAGCCCAAATGGGCCACCTGGCAAATTAAGTTTATTTTAAGAATCAATACTTAACATGTCCCTCATAAGTAACAATTCTAGCTATCATTATACGAAAAATCAAGTATAATATGGATGATGCAGAAGTTTTGAATTAAGCACAAAAAATAATAAAAGACCAGCTTTGGTGATGGTTGAACCACGTTTGTCTGGGTAACTTACATTTAGCAACAGTCTTAACATGTTTGTGTAGGAACTAGGAATAACTTTTGATAAAGATCTTGTACAAGCTTTATACGGCGCTGACATAGCCACTACGTTTAAATCCAAATAATTTAAGCATATAATGCCTTCTCAAGTTTTGCGGGTACCAATTAGTCTGGTTGGTAAGGACCCTGAAAATTGTTGCTAAGAACTTGGGTTAAATCCTCGGCTTACAATAATAAACTCCCATTTACAAGATTCTCAGTTTAGCAAAAAAAAAAGGGTACTGATTTGAGAAAATTTATCACAACTTAAGGTTTAGTTGACTAGAAAATTCCATGTAGAAAATAAAATAATAAAAAAACTTTCCCGAGTCATTACTTCTCTTTGTACAAAGGGGGAGCTAAATAAATATCACTGACAGACATTATAAAATAAGAATACGGCCAAAAAAGGAAGGAAAAATAAATAGGGGTCAGTAATCCTATAAGAAAGCACACGGATTACAATCCGAGAGTCATAGAAAGACGTATCTAATGGTACAACGTTTTAATTTGTGTGCCTTAAGTTCTTTTACTATAATTGGATATCAAACAAAAGTATTATAAATCACCATTATTATTTCCACACCATTGGCATCAAGGAAGATCCATCATGGTATCCTCTTTCAATTCTGCATAAAAAATGTCATCATGTTGGATTCTTATTTAGATCATAAGTATTGCAAATGTAAACCAAGGAAATTAAAAATTAGAGATCGTTGACATCAAAAGGTATCGTTTCAAAGATAGTATTTTGATTGAACAATTGAGGAATGATTTTGAATTTTTTTTTTTTTTAGATAGAAACCTATCTCAACAATTTTATTAAGGGACACAAACTAGTTATAAGATTTAAGGAGTACCTAAATGGGGCACATTCTTGATACAAGTGCCAAAAAGAAATATACGCCTAATATTTTTCCAATAAATAAGAAATAGTATAAGAAGTAGAGATCAATCCCATGACTTAATGGTGGGAATATAGAAAACGAACACCAAGACTAAAGCTTGGTTCCACTAAAATTTTGACTTAATTGTGTATAATATATTGAAAATGGTTATAAACAAAGGTGACTTACTACTATGGAAAATTTGAAAGATTACTTTTATAAGTGTTTGGAAGCACCATGGATTATATTGTCAAGATTTATTAATTGCATTAGATCAAAGAAAATTCATTTACTTTGAAATCAGAATAAAGTTAAAATTGCTATAAATATTGAGACGCGTCTCATGTGTATGCTTTTGGGTTCTATTTTGGGCAGCATGACATTATCCTGATTCTAACAACATTCAAAGAATATTTCTTCATAAGCCAAATAATTCAAGCATTTCCACCATCCAATCAAAGACCTATCTTCCACATCATCCCAAATCCTCACTTTACAACCATCCAAATCCAAAGTCCAAAGCATCAGGCATCTCCATCGTTCAACTGTCAGCTAGTTTCAAAAAAGGTGAAATTGAAAACTGTGTTGTTTTGCCTTAGTAAGGGAAGGCATAAGCTTTAAAAAAGAAGAATAAAAAACTTATAATTATGAATCATTCATAAATACGATATAAACCATCAACATATGTACTTAGTTCATCCAGAGAAAGACGAACTATAGAATCGCATAATAAAGAAGAACAAACAATAAAATCACATAATAAAGAAAGAAAAGAAAATTCCAATCTTAACCGTTAATGAAAAACAAAATTTTGAAACGGATTAGGCGTTAGCATTCACTTAAAATTTTAATGCAATGAGAGTACGGATTAACAACAGCCTTATACTCACTTTAAGAATGTAAGTAATCGTATGTAACAATTCTATATTTGTTTGATTCACTCTCATTGCATGATACCATTCTAGAGCTCCTAAAAAGCATTTAGGAAGCAGATTTCACAGAGAGATGGTTGTAGAATAGCAAGTAAAAGCTAATATGTGAGGATTATTGTGTTTAGAAGGGAATACGAAGTTGTTACTGGGCAGTAAGATTGATATCATCAGCAGCTGTCCCGGCTGCAAACAGTTAATAAATCTTTTAATCAGCAATGTTTGGGTGGCAGAAAGTTCTGCCACCTATCCCCAAGTAAGATACACATATACCACTTGCAATGAGAAAATAATACAACACTTCAGAGGGCAAAACCCGGAAAAATCTCTCCAATTTATAAAAGTAACAAACTGAAAAAAAAATCCAAAACACTAATACAACATTGAAAAAATTCCATGATAGAAAATAACATAATTAAAAATAAAGAAATAGGAAAAAAATAAATTATAAATAAAACAAAAAGGAAAAAAATATGGTTGAATTGCAAACGACAAATATTTCGGGTTAAAATCAATTCGAGTGATTACGGATGTTATCGCAATCCCACGGGACGCTGAATGCGGAGAGACACTCCTGTGCCGTTCTCCTGGATTAGGAGAAACTTATTCTTCTCTTAAGGACTTTGATCCCATTGTTGATCACTCTTTCCCACATAACACCTAAGAAGATTTTCAAGCCGCAATTCACCACTCCTATTTGGCCATCAGTGCCTGGGTGTGCCATTGAAATGAACTGAGATTTAGTACTCAATTTACTCCATATGGCCTTCCAAAAATAGCTCAAAAACTTTTTATCTTTGACATGTTGGGCCTCCTTTAGCAGTAGCAACTCGAGATAGAATGCATAACTAAAAATCCTAAAATTCTTTTATCTGAGGTTGCCCGGTGGATGGTATCGACTTCTCAAATGCACGGCCCATTTGAACAACCAATGTCAATTCTGTCAATGCTCCTCTTAATGCCTGCAAAAAGACAATTTGTGGCAACACATCCATAAACTCCGTATGAACGCTTATTACTTCAAACGCACTATGCTCTAGGACAAATAATGTTAGTCTTGTTGAAATCTCTCTCATAATTCAGTTTGAATCACTAGCATCTTTCCTTCATCCGCGACAATATACTCCTTAGCTTCTTCACCTTCTCCAGTGTCTCTTGAATCATTGTCGATATTTTCCAGAAATCCTTGCTCCATGAATGAGATCATCCTCGTGTTTGGAAAATCTGATGTAATGTGCACAAATCGTGGCAACAAAAGCATCGCCTTGGGATGGATTTCGGAGTACAGGTGATCTCCACATTTTCTCCACTTTGTATAGGTTTCTCCTTTAGTGTTTTCGACTTGGGTGCTCCACGGCATATACTTTTGTTGTTTAATCCCTTGATTGAACCATTTATAAAGTGAGGTGGTCATTTGGTGATGATTTCTTCACCTTCAAAGCTAAGGTTTGTACATCAAGTAGGGACCAATACAACTGCGATTAAATTACATTATTGATAAATGACCCCAATCCTCCAAGATATATTGCTACTGTGTGATCCTATGTTTCTACCAATTCACATTTCAATATGAGTTGATCGAAGTCAGATGTGTACTCCACAAGTCTCTCTAGCTTAGACTGTAGTTTTATAGTTTTATGAGCATATATTGTCGGTAATATAAGGGAAGGTATTTGCACCGCATCTCCCTTTTCATCTTTAGAACACATGGTGATCTTACTCACCCATTCTCATTGTCGAATATGCTTCAGATTCTCCCACCACAATTAATTTTTTTTTGAGCTAATGGCTGCCAATTTAACTCTCATTTTGAGAAACATTCTTGTAGTAAAAAATTCACTCCACTGTTTAAAGTCACTCAATAAACTCATCCAGATCCATGTGACCATCGAAATTAGGTAAATCCACTTTTAATCCAAAATCTTGGCTTCTCCTCTGATATTCCATGATGAATCGTTGAGGCAATGATTATTTGTCATTGGAAACTGTTTGGTAGAAGGAATTCACGTCCTCCTCTCAATCTGACAACTCAATGTTGTGACAATATGTGACCTCATCGGATTATCTCCTCTCATAGGTGGCAAGTCTGTTGCATTTTAAGGATTTTTCGTTGCATAACTTCCATAGTAAGCTTCTACCTATTTGTCGAATTCTCTTAGGCAGCATTGTGTCATTTTCTCCTGATAAGGTTATCGACAAATGTAGAATTGCAAATCAAAGGATGGTAGAGGGCTTAAGTTTTGGTAGTAGGTGTCGGGTGTAATTTTAGTAATGGTAGAAAAGTAGAAATTTTATAAATTTAAGTTTGGGGCAAGAAATTGCGGTAGGAATAATTTAGGTATTGAATTGATTGAATATTTAAATTACGTAAAATTTTGAGGCATAGGAACGACAAATCCCAATCTTTTTTTTGGGTTTGTCAGAATATGATACCAAATGATATTATTCTAGAGCACCTATAAGATATTGGGGAATCGAATTTCACTGAGAGATGGTTGTAATTAGGGTTGTCAAAACAGCTCGTTCTTCACGAACAAATCATGTTGGGCTCATTAAGTAGTTCGGGTTTGGCTCGTTAAATAACTCCTGTTTGATTTATTCGATAAGCAAACAAGCTAACAAGAACAATTTTTTGTGCTCAATATATAAACAAGTCGAACACGAACAAAGACATGTTCATTCGCATTCGACTCTTTTTAACTCGAAATAATTAAATATATATATAATTGATGAGTATTATTTTTAAATATTTTAATCAACTACAAGGCTCCAAAGATATATAATCAATTAAATGTATTAATTAAAAAATAGAATAAAAATACATTAAATTTTATTCAAATGAATATTTTAAAACAACTAATAAGATTTAAACCTCGTTCATACCCTTAACATCCTACAACTGGGTGACTAGGGCTTGTCAAAATAGATTATTGTTGATGAATAGCTCGTCTTCGGTTCGCTAAGCAAACGAGCAAAAAAAGAACACATTTTTTTTTGCGCTCGATATATAAACAAGCAACACACAAACAACAGTATTTTTTAGCGAGTAGAACATTACTCGAGGTCGAGCTCGCTCAAACTCAGCTTTTTGACACCCCTAGTTGTGGAATAGCAAGAAAAGCTAATATGTGAGGGTCACGGTGTTTGGAAGGGATTGCAGGGATAAAGCTATTGTTGGGTAGCAAGGTTAACGTCTTCATCAGTTGCTCCGACTGCAAACAATAGAGAAAACTCTAAATTGACGATGTTTGAAAAACGAAGTTCCATCAACTGCCTCTAAGCAAGATAATGATACACCACTTGCAATAGAAAAAGGATACCAAACTCAAAGAACAAAACTCATAAAAACATATCTCAAATTCATAAAATAAAAAATAAAACCAAAACCCATATAGTATACATATAAAAGTCTCATAATAAAATAATCTAATTGGAAATAAAAGACAAAAAATAAAGAAATTAAAAATAAACCAAAAAGGAAAAAAAACATTGTCGGATTTCAAACGACAGACATCCTAAGTTGAAATCGAACCCCACAATCACGGATGTTGTCGTGATACACCACTTGCAATAGAAAAAGAATATAATAATCCAGAGTAAAACTCAGAAACATTTCTCAAATTCATAAAATAAACAAACTGAAAATCCAAAACCCTGATACAACATATATATAAAAGTCTCATAATAGAAAATAAAATAATTTGAAATAAAAGTATAAAAAATTTGAAATGAACAAAAAATTAAAAAAAAAAATTGTTGAATTGCAAAAGGCAGACTTCTTGAGTTGAAATTGAAGTTTGCAATCATGGGTGTTGTCGCAATCCTATAGATAAGCGAGATTGTGTGATCCCGTGAAATGCAAAAAGACGCTCCCGCGCCATTGCATTTTTAAAATTTCCTGCAATCACAACAATTTTCTTCTTAATCTATGTTTTTTCATTACAAAAAGTAAAGAAGTTACCCTAAAATCAAAACTTCTGACTAGAACTAGATGATCTCACCTCTTCATTCTTGCACGCTTTGAAATACAAGCTTGTAAGCTCTCGCTCAACCACAACTTTCACTCAATAAAACTCACACAGCCCCAAAAAAATGGGACACAATGTAAATCTAAAGTTAAATGAAGACAACTAACCTAATAGGATATATATTAGCCATAAAATATGATATATGAGTATAACATAATATGTTAGATATAATAAAGATATATATAAGTATTCTTTAAATTAACTCATTGAGGTATCAAATTAGGACGCTAAACGAGTTGAGCTTGAGCAAGCCTAGTGCTTGCTCGTGTTCAGCTTATATGAGATTTTTTTTCTTCAAAATAGATTCATGTTCGAAATGGCTTGTGAATGACATATTCGGGTTAGGCTCAAGTCAAATTCAATGGTTCATTTCAGCACTCCTTCAACTTGAAATTAGCTTAAATAATTTTAAAATAAAAAAATTTGATTATTTTTTAAATACACATAAAATTTTAACATAAAAAATATTATAATAAAATTATTTATTTATTAATTTATTTTGAGCAAAAATTAATCAAAAAAGATTATACGAAATTTATTTGTATACACCTTGTTTATAAATCAAGCTAAAAAAATTGCAAGTGCTCGACGTGCTTGTTTAACAAACAAATCGAACATGAGCTACTTAGTGAGCTGAACATAAGTTATTCGCGAACAACTAACTTTTTTTAACAGCTTGACCTCAAATACTTTGAGGCATACACTGCCTCAAGATATTTTTGTGCAACTCAATTTGAGGAGAGCCTCAAGGTGTATCTCAGTCATTAAAAGATGCCCATCAATGTTTTCACCATACCATAATTTGCTATCCGAGCAATCTAAATTACCCTTATTTTAGCAATGGGCTAGAAGGAAAGGCCTCTTTATAAAAATTTATATTGTATTGTTCATAGGTCGGGCATTAAGCATCCAAAATAGTAACCCAAAATCGCATCATGATCATCATCACTATCCTTATCCCAACTTTTTAAGGTGCTATATAAATGTTTTTTTTTTTCAATTCTTATATGATATGCCACATGAGATGTTAACTCTCTTTCACAAGCACTTCTGCACAATTTTTAGGCATGAACTTTTCCTTTACCACCTTTCTTCTTAAAACTTCCTCAATGGTATCATCCACTTATTTTATTGATTCTTCTTCTTCACTCATTCTACAAGCCGAATAACATAAATCTATCTTTGTTGCTACCTTTATTTACATGTTTCGAAAACCATCCTTGGATAATGAATATAAATCAGCGCACCACCAATATCTATCATTAAGAAAAAAGTAGCAAAAAACTAATTAGCTCTCCTTCCAATAGCAGAGTCCCCGGGTTAGAATAAAAATTGGCACAGCACGCAACAACTATCACTAGATTATATAAATAATACTCTCATTCTACTGAGAGTTCATACACAATCCATTCATAACCATAATGCTTTCTCCATCTAGCTTGTGTAGGATAAGTAGAAGATAAACACAATATTATGTTAACTTACACAAATAAATAACGCCTATTCATCATCAAGTTTCCATATTATCAATAATGAACTACCATAATCAGAACAAGTATTATTATTCCCCAAATCAATGCAAACTGGACTCTTAGATATTTGATGTGTGAAACTAAGATAAGAAAATAAATCATTTTAAGTTCACCGTTTTTATCATACAACTCAGTAGAAGTGCATTGAGAGGCATCCACATATGCATTATGCAGCCGAATATACAATAATTGGCATTATAATGTAACATCATTAACATTGCTAAGTACAATTATAAATTTCAAAAGAAGCGTCCCTCAACAAATAATTAAACACCTCCTTCATATATCAGCCTCCCAAAGCACATCAAAGTGTAATACCAACTTCTGAGCCATTTCTAGCCATTTTGAGCCTTATGAAGGGTTCAATTAAGTATAAGCAAAAAAAAAAAGGCTACTTAAATTTGGAAGGAAAAAGGAAAAAAGACCAAAATAATCCCAATAAAAAAAAAACTAACAGTAAAAAACCAAAATAGTATGTTTTGGGTTAAGTTTATAGACCAGATTGGAGGGGGAAAAAAGGGAGAAAAAGTCATGTGAGCCTTTTTCGTTGTTTTTAACAATTGGTTGAGCTAAAGAACCAAAATAGTTATGAACTCATAAGTTTTAGGGAAAAATGGAGGAAAAAAATTCATTGCTAAAATAAAGACGCCCTGTATGATCTGGTTATCATTTTATTTATTTTGTCAAACTAGAAATTTCTGTTTAGAGTGTGAAATACATCTTAGCACATTGATCTTTCCCAAAATATCACTTTCATCTAAAAATTCATTTTTTTTTAAGCAACAAAGCCTATAAAGCCACTGATCAAGGGATATCTATATTTATTCAATATGCATTAATGAACTTATGTTGGACACAAACAGCATAAAGAAAAACATAACTCTAAACGCAAATAGTTCTGCTGTCTCAAATGACATGACCTAGCATCAAAGTAATCTAGAAAAGTGCAATCAGAAACCACAGTACAAAATCAAACAATCGCATGGATAGATTCAGAGATGAGGAAACAGTTATGCGCTAAAAAATTTCAAAAAAATTGGAATTTCGTAAACAAAACTTCAAAATCTAGAGAAACGCAATAAACATTATTAATAAAAAAACACCACAAAGTGAACCTTAATAAGCTGGCAGGACTTCACTTAGCCAAAAACATAATGGGAAATAAGACCTATATGCATGAACAAGGAGATAAATACTGACCATAGTAAATCTCTTTGGCAGCAAAAAGTACATATGGATATTCACACGTCAACTCTTCAAACTGCTGAAAACTACATGTAATTTTACTCAAATTAGAGAAAAGATCAAAGAAATCACTACTTGAAAAACAGTTGTCAAATAACACGAAGAACAACAATCACCCGGTATAAGTCAAATCACAATAAGATTGATAACACTCATCCAGCCCGTGTGTTATGAATGACAGCAAAAAATAACCTTAATTGGACAAGCAGCACAGATGCATGAAGAAAAAAAATATCATGAAAGCATCAATTTCAACAAAATTTCCGAACTGTATAAAAATTGAGTAGTGAAGTCAGCAACCAAACAAGAAAAAGCACACATGAAATTTATTTAGTACTTCCCATCCATTACATGTCACCTGCCAACCAACCCATTGATTACAAGTTTATTTTGGGGGTTACAAATCCACAAAAAAGGAAGTGTTTGATGGAGAGAGTTTTAAGGAAGGGATAGAGAAAGAGAGTGAAAAAAATTCCTCTCATTACAGTAACTGTTATGGTTAGACGTGTTCCAGTAACTTTGGGTAAGTGCTGCACACTTTATTTCAATTAATTTCGCATTTGTATTAAATGATTCATTCTTATTATCCAAAACATGTCCCGAAGTGCCTTGCTTAGAGCGTTTACAAGTGTCGATCAATAATGAAGGGGAAGGTGCTTTTCAATTATCAAACTCAATGTTGAGTTTCTTATAATGAAAGGAAGAATGATAGTATCCCATTAAAATTAATTGTGCCTCACAAGTCTAGGGCATAATTACCGCCTCATTAAAGTATATTTTCTAGACACCAATCATCTTATTTAAATGAATTTATTTTCCAAGCGAAAAAGGAGGCGCCAGTATGGAAGAGTTTGGAATAGGTAGTTTACCGGTAAAAGAGTGAGAGATTCCTCTTGCTTAAATGAGTGATTTTCTAATATAAGGAATTTGCGAGTTCTCGATTATAATAGCTAAGTGAGTCACTTAGTTTTGGGTGAGTAATTTCCCATTTTATCAAATAGATTTTTTTTCCTTTACAGTAAAATGCACTTAAGACTTAGTTTTGGGTGAGTAATTTCCCATTTTATCAATGCACTTAATTTCCACGGGCTACAAAATTTTATGATTTATAATACAAAATAAATTAATAAAGTTCAATATTATACACCTGATAAGAATGAATGAAATACAGCAGTCCATAATAAAACAGCATTTCATACATAACAATCGACTGCTTCATATGACGTGAATATGATGCAGCTTCCAGAAACATAAAAAAAAGCAAAGGATAGTCAGCAATATATGGGGTAATAGACACGATCCTTCTTGGTATTTCAACCAAATAGTCTAAATTGCAATAACAGCTCATAATGCAAGGAAAACAAACAATTCAGCTTATGCAAGTACATGAAGCATATTCAATCACCCGGCAGATAAACATTTTGTAGTTTATAAAAGGCTCATTATATCAATTAATTAAATGTTAGGTTAGCGGGCTTCTGTAATTTTAACTTAGCTTTGAAACTCCAGAAATCAATGTACTTTAAAAGAGCATAAATATGTGCATGGAATAAATCCATGTAAGAAAATCATGTGTCGCTAGATGGTTTACCTCAGGATGGAAGAAAACCCTCAGTTTCTTTGGCACTGAAGAGTGAGTTAAGCCCTCTCCACTTCACACAAATCATCTCTTGCAAGAACAATATAAAAATCAAAAAGAAGTGCCCGTATGATATGAACAGAACCATAAAATTTGGCATTAGGATCCAAGCTTTTATAGCATTGTTTACAATGTATCAATGAGAAATGAGAGATTTGTTACAAGAACTTTCATGAAGATCTGACTAAATAAAATAAAAAACCAATATGCCACACCTTGTATCCAAGTTGCATAAAGGATGAACTGTTTTATGATCATTGCCGACAAGAACAAAAATGCCTGCAACAAAATCGTTTTGGTGGATAAAACTATATTTTTAGTCCACCAATATCATCACGGGTGCCTGCTGAAGAATAGTGTTAAATCGTCACCGGACACTAACACAAGCTGCAGAACTTTACTTGCAACACATCTCTCACCTCAAAGTAATATATCCCATGTGAATACTTTCAATTCAGGACAAGAAGCATAGATATGCAGCAGTTTACCAGCTACTCATTCACTACTCTTAACCAAAGAGTCCAGTAGAGACTTGGTCCCCCAGCTGTAATTCCTTCCTTCGCTGCTCTTCCAGAGGATCAGGGCTCTTCATTATCCTTCGCAGACGCCTAAAAATACATTAAAAAAGTAATTCAAAAGATTTCCTATGGAAGAGAACAAAATTTAAATCAAAGGTTGCCCTGCAGCTTCGGAGTAATCATTTCTGATACCTGTCTTGGGCATGCTGGGCAGGAAATGTTGGCATGAAATCCTTCTCTTTAGGAAGAGGAACCTCACGGAACCAATCATGGTTGAGAGCATTTTCAGCAGTAATGCGCTGCAGTAGAAAGGTCAAGGCATGTTCAACACATAAAAGGTAAAGGTTATCCACCCATGAGAAAAAATAAATCAGCTTATTAGCCAGCTCTTTGGCAATGCATTTACCTTCTCAGGGTCATATGTTAGAAGCTTATTCAGCAAGTCAAAACCAGCCTCTGACAGAGTTGGACGCCCAGAAAATGAAGTGGGCGGGAACTTCTCACGCAGCCTATTATACCTGAAGTAAAAAAAAGAATTGAGTGGTCAAAACAAATTGGATGATGCATCACCTAACAAAAGATGCCACCAAGACAAGCCAGGATACTCGAGCAAGTTCACTCCTTGCTGAATGCCTGACAAAAGGTCATTGACAATAAGACATTGCACCCAAAAAACAATCAATTAAATTAGCAAAAAAAAATATACATACTGCGACAAGTCACAAGGTGAAAAGAAAAGATACTTACGGCTGCCTAACAAAGTTTACTTTGACACCAGGTAACTTTGCAAACCCTGGCCAGATCTTCTCATTTGGGGTGCCAAGAGTTCTAAATATCTACAAGAAATATTTTCTAACAGTCACCACAATGGCAAAAAATGCCAAATAAGTAAATAATGACTTTGACACGTCAAAATATACCTTATCAAGTTGATCAAATTCGGTCTTCCCATTGAATAACGGCTCTTTCGCTAAGAATTCAGCCATTATACATCCAAGTGACCACATGTCAATTGCAGTTGAATACTGCTTTGTGCCTAGCAGAAGTTCTGGCGCTCTGCAACATTGAACAGTATGAGAAGCTTCAAAATACCACATAAAATGGAAATTAAAATGAAAAATAAACATGGAAGTGATTGCATGCAAACAAATTTTGGGAAAAAAACAACAAATAATGTTAAATTAAAGATATATATTTCAAATTACCTGTACCACAAAGTCACAACCAAGTGGGTATATGGCTTCAAAGGACTACCATATTGACGAGCTAAACCAAAATCACAAATTTTCAACTCACCGCGATTGTTCAATAACAGATTTGATGTCTTTAGATCCCTGGCGGTAAACAACAAATGGAACTAACTCAATTTCCCATTTCTTAAATTTGATTTATAACCATAAAGATAAGTACAATTGAAATGCCAGAGAAGGTTATACCTATGAAGAACCCAGTTATCATGCAGGTATTTGACACCGGACAGAAGCTGCAACATTAAGCACTTTACCTCACTCTGGCTAAATGGTTGCTTCATTGTCTCCATCAGGCCTTTAAGATCATGCTCCATATACTCCATAACCATGAAGATACTATCAAGGCTGCTTCCAACAACAACTTCCTTTACATCCACAATAGATGGATGGTGGAAAGACAACAATATATTAATTTCCCTGAGAGATGTCAAAGGAAAGCCCTCCCTCTCCTTCTCCATCTTCACCTTTTTCAATGCTACAATATCCCCAGTTATTTTGTCCTTTGCTCTATAGACAACCCCATAAGTGCCTTCATCTATCTTGTTCAACCTTTCAAATTCATCAACACTTCTACATCCCTGCAGCATGTTTATGCTTCTTTGAGGTGGTTGCATTGGCTCTAGTGTCCTAGCCTCGCCACTGGAATTTTCATAATCGGAGTCCAAAATATGAACACTAGTATCATCTTTAGCCACTTCCTCATCAATATCCATAGACTCATTACTCCCAGAACCAATATTTTGTTCATCATCTCCACTGCAACCCTTGGAACTACTATATGACTGTGAATCGGCGCCTTCAGAACTTTCCCTCACCTCGCCGAGCTCAGGGCTCTGTAACTTTTTCAGCAGTTGGTATTGTTGCCCAGATACTGCCAAAAGGGTACTTTTTTTCTTTTTTCTCACAATCTCCACAACAGCTGCCTTAGCTTCATCTTCTTCCAAGGCATTGTTTGTGTCTGCCCACCGAGAGGTAGAGATGTGACGTGCTGGAGCAATGTCATCCTCATGATCCAATACCTGTCCATGCCCCAAACCATTGACTTCATCTTTATGATATTGAGGTGAAATTGCAGAAACTTCTGCATCCAATGGTAAGGCTTGCTCTGGAAACTGCCGCACCACCTCGATTGGTCGTGACAGGGTGTGCCCACGTCTCAATGAAGGTGGTGGAGGAAGTGGAGCTCGATGCACAGGATTGCTCCTACTCCGGGAACTGCCAGCAGATGACCTCTTATCGTCATCTCTGTCCCATATAATCGGAGAGAATTTTCTCTTCTTAGCAGCTGATGAATCGCCCTCTTCCGGTTTCTCTACACCATTAACTGTCCCCCTGTAAGGAAGGACATCGGCGTCATCCGACCCACTTCCGCTAGACAGCTCCCCAGGCTCACGATCTGCAGACCTTCTAGAAAGCCGATTACTAGCCTTACTAACTACGCTAGAATTGCTTGACAGGGGAGAGCGATAGGACCCGTTCGAGACTTCCTTATCTCTAACCCTAATCCGATCTTTTACGAGTCCCCGCTCGCGGTCCCCTTCGCGAAATCGCTCCTGGTAATAATCTTTCTTCATCGTAATCTCTAAATTAGACTCTCTACCCCTAAGCTCGTCATCTCGGTAGTCCCCGTTACGACCGGCGGCCATAGAAACTCCAAAAACAAGGTATAGAAATCGGAAACAAGGAAACCTAAACTATCAATTCGGAGTGGATCTATGAGCACTACGCCGTGATATCCACAATAATCGATATATTTCGTAGGAAATATACAGAAGAAATCCGGCCGATTAGATCCCGGAGTTAACCCTCAAAAGATTTCCCACAAAAAAAAAAAAACTAGCAAGAGCGAAGACGAAGCTGGAGTAAGTAAAGTAAGAGGATCAACCCCAAGAAGAAGCAATTATCAGAGGCGCCGATGGGAAGCGAAGTGACGATATCAACCGGAAAAGGGCAGCTGCGACCGAGTTTCGTGCCCGCTCTATCGACCAGCGGAAGAACCGTCCGCGAAAGTGGAAGGGCCAGATTTCCTAAGAATGCTGCTTTGACGCCCAACCCTCGGCTAACAATAACATGCAATTACTATAAATAAAAATAGTAAAAAAATTATTGCCATCAAATTTCATGATAAATACCTCCTAAAGCAGAAAAGATAGCGATAAAAGGTTTTAATCACACATAAACTCCATTGAACACAACATAGATATGCCATCAATAAGAATCTACTTGTTGAGACTAATAAGCAGCATAAAATATGATTCACGTAGATTTTATGAATTATAGCAAAAAAAAAAAAAAACATAATATAATTTCTATTATAAGATTAATACAAAATTAATCAAAAATAGCTTAAAAATAATAATAATAATAATTGATTCGTGTCAGGTGATCCGTTGTTATAGAATAAAGGATTATTGTTCTAGCGTAGTAACGAAATCCAACACGCCCTCAGATGAAATTAAGAAACTAGTAACGACACCAAATTTTTTTAAGAGAAAAACACGTAAAGGGACAAAATAGCGGGTCTTGCCTAGTTAAAATATTTTATTATGAGTTTATAATTATAGGTACAAACGCTTGTCCCACGAGCAGGAAAGGGTTACGCAATTTCTCTGATTGCAGTGTTTGTGCAAGAATCAACCCGGGGTAGGGAGTGGGCAACACCTGGAGATGGTTAGAGGAGATCGAAACGTAGAGGCGAGTAGACGCGGTGCCGGCCAGAGATGGACTGATGAGGCTTGAAGGCGGCGGTGGCCTGAGACGGAGGCGATTGGATGGTGGTGTTGGTCAAAAGATGAAGATGACTGGAAGACGGTGGTGGTGAAGACGACTAGAGATGCGATGGTGGCCTAAGATGGCAACGGTCGGAAGGAATCGACGACCTGAGACGACGGTTGCGACCTGAGATGGTTGCGGCTCTCAGAAGGCGGCGACGGTCTGAGATGGCGACGGTCAAAAGTCAGAGGTGGCTGGAAGAGAGCAATGGCGGCGGTCGGAGGGCGACAGCGGCTAGAAGGCAGCAGCTATGTCCTGAGACGACGACGATGACCTGAGAGAATGATGATCGGAAGGCGGCGACGACGATGAGCGGAGGACAACAGTGCCCCCGGAAGGTGGCAACGACGGCCTAAGTCAACGACGTTTTGAAGGCGGCAGCAGCCTGAGACATTGACCTCAGAAGGGCGAAGGCGACCGGAAGTGGAAACAGCTGGAAGGTGGAAAGGCTGAAAGACGGCTGAGGCGACCTGAGACAGTGTTGACGACCAAAGGGCGACTGCGGTCGAAATGCTACGACAACCTGAGACGTCGATGCAAGAGGCTAGGCTGCAGCTCCCTCTTGTGTAAGCTCTCCTCTCACTGGCTTTGGATCTCGGTCCCCCCTGATGGGGGGCATGGGTCTCTATTTCTAAAGTCTAAAATGCAAATAAGGTAGGAATCCAAAACACTCTTGATCGGACGGTGTTTGATGGATGTTTGACTGCCTTAATGATAATGGAATTGAGTGATCTTGTACTCTTTGGATTCATCTCGCAATTTTTCTCAGTTTTTTTTAGCACCCGGAGACGTCAGTTAGGCTATTTATATGTTGTCGTGTGATTCACTTTTTCAAATAAATCCTCCTCCCAAATCATATAAATATTTCGAAGAGAAGAGCAATCGAAGAGAATGATATACGACAACAAATAAGCAAACAAATATAAAGAAAAATGTGAAAGATTTATAAATGGGTAATCTTCATGTGATCGGTCAAAAGTATACATCAAAATAAGATTGAATAGAATGAAACACAACATCCACGAAAAGAATCCCTACATAAACCACCCATAAGAAGATAACCAAAAATAGCATTTTTGTTATGGGGTTAGGAATCTCCCAAATGAACATATCCCTCTAGTTAATTATATCATTGGGGATACCCATAAATACTCTCAATAAAAAGGGGTTTCGCATAGATTATCATGGACCTGGAAAATAAGACATCAAAGAATGGTTATCTTGTATGGGACGCTCTGATGCTTCAAAACACTCACTACCATGCATATCCAACATACAAGCACACTAATAACACAAATTAAGAAAGATGCATGGCTAGAGCAACTAAACTAGTAAATAACAATAGTCATACATCAAAAGACTACTTAATATCCTAGACCCAACCTAACACACCATCTAACGAGAAGTGTCATAACCAACACCTAAGTGCACATGGTAAAGTCTTTGATTATCGTATAACTTTGACGGGTCGCCATACCAAACTATTTTTAAAGATCGAAGAGAAATATAACACCTCACAAGAAATGAGCGACATTTTAAAACAAATGGTCTCACAAATGGCATAACTTATATAATTTTAAAAGTTGGGCGGATAATATAATAATAATAAAATCCATTTTTATACTTTTAAAATAGCAGACCATAGAATGCGAGTCTGTGACTCATATGACACATTAAAGTCCTTGGGTCCTTAGCACGGTTATATTGTTATACTGTTTTTTATGATATTGCACTTTAAAGAAATATATTTTTGATGTTTTGTTGCAGGATGATGAATTAGAGTCATTGGAGCAAATAAATGCAAAAATGAGTGAATTTGGAGCGAAAAGGGACCAAAATGTGAAGATTTGAACTAGGGCGCCGACGGTGAGAATTTCTCGAGACTCCAGAATTAATTCACTTAGAAGGCCCACCGACGCCGAGCCCCGC